AGCTCGTAAGTGGTTTGATGAAATGATAAATGTTGGTTGTGCCCCTAATGTGGTTACTTACACTGCTCTTATACATGCTTACCTGAAAGCCAGAAATTTCTGTAGTGCAAATGAACTTTTTGAAATGATGCTATCTGAAGGCTGTATTCCTAATGTTGTCACATATACAGCATTAATTGATGGTTATTGTAAAGCAGGACAAATTGAAAAAGCTTGCAAGATTTATGCTAGAATGCGTGCTAGCCCGGAAATTCCAGACGTAGGTATGTTCTTTAGGTTTTGTAATAGTGATGCAGAAGAGCCAAATGTATTTACATACGGAGCTTTGGTAGATGGTTTATGTAAGGTTCACAAGGTCAAAGAGGCTCATGAGTTATTGGATGCTATGTTTGTGGAAGGTTGTGAACCAAATCATATTGTATATGATGCTCTTATAGATGGATTTTGTAAAGTTGGGAAACTAGATGAAGCACAAGAGGTGTTTGCCAAAATGTCCCAGCATGGTTACAGTCCAGACATTTATACTTACAGCTCTTTAATTGACAGATTGTTCAAAGATAAGCGTCTTGATCTTGCCTTAAAAGTCTTATCCAAAATGCTTGAAAATTCTTGTGCACCTAATGTTGTTATTTATACAGAAATGATTGATGGCTTATGTAAGGTAGGTAAAACAGATGAAGCCTATAAGCTGATGCTGATGATGGAAGAAAAAGGATGTTGTCCAAATGTTGTGACGTATACTGCAATGATAGATGGTTTTGGAAAAGTAGGTAAAATGGACAAATGTCTTGAACTGTTACAACAAATGGGTTTAAAAGGTTGCTCGCCAAATTTTATTACCTACAGGGTTTTAATAAACCATTGTTGTGTCAATGGACTCTTGGATGAGGCTTATGAACTTTTAGAAGAAATGAAACAAACATATTGGCCTAAGTACATGGCAGGCTATTGTAAAGTAATTGAAGGTTTTAACAAAGAGTTCATTGCATCCCTTGGACTCTTAGATGAGATAAGTACAAATGATTCTGCACCAATTATTCCAGTTTACAGAATTCTAATAGATAATTTTATTAGAGCTGGAAGACTGGAGGTGGCTTTGGAACTATATGAAGAGGTTGCATCATTTTCACCCTTTTTAGCTGCCTATACTAACATTTATAATTCTTTGATTGAGGCCCTCTTCTTGGCTGGTAAGGTCGATAAGGCCTTTCAGTTGTTTTCGGATATGATAAACAGAGGTGGCAATCCAGATTTGCACATATTCTTTCATCTTATTAAAGGGCTTGTGAAAATAAGCAAGTGGGATGAAGCACTCCTACTGTTAGACAGTGTATGTCAGATGGTTAGTTTCTCTTCTTCTCCTCACACTATGAAATAATTGATACCTTAGAATACAAATGTAACTATTGGAAAGCTAACTTCCAATTATTTTGTTCTTATGGGTCTGCTTTCTCTTTTTCTCTTTATGTTAATAAATGCATTCTCATGCCAACTTATTATGATATACCTGCTAATCTATCTTTTGATATAAACCAGCAGAAAAAAGTATTTTCCTAGCTCCTATTGGTTAAATGTATACTATCTTAAATCTATCATAAATCAACAGTGAGCTCATACATCTTTTCATTTTCTTTCTTATACAAAAACAGGTTTGGCCTTTTAAATAAGTCTTTACTAGCATAAAATTAATAAGACATTTAAGCACTAGATTGGATGATTTGTCAGTATCTATGGAAAGGTCATAAGTTAATAGATAATACATGATATTTACAGAACCTTGAGCTTGTGATGGTGAAGCATCTAGTAAAAAAGTTATGTAGGCATGATAAATGAAAGTAAAGCTGCTTTGCATAGGAATCAGTAGTTCCTTCTTTTTAATGCATTGTGTCTTTAATAGTTAAATGTTGCTTCTGTTGCTTGGATGCTTGTCAGAAAGGTCAAAGATATCTGATTTCTTCTATATAATTATATCACCTTTTTCAAGATTTTTATAGTTTCAAGTTCCTTTTGTAGGATATCCATTTGTTCCAAGAGGAAAAGACATCTCACATGCTTTAGGCTTACCTGAAAACTTGACGTTTTCAATATTGATTTTGATCTGATGCCTTAACCGTGCATAACAATGAATATGCTCAGAGATTGACTCTACAAGTAAAAGAATTGACTTTGCTTCTAAAGCCTGAGAAACAATGTTTGCTTAGGCAATGAAGCAAGCTTTAAAGAACGTCAAACATTGTAGATTTGTCAAGCTCAGCTAGCCTTCTTTCTGGTAATTATTATGTCAAAGCTGGTAAGACAAATAAAAAAATTATCATTAGGAACTTCGGCATTGTGTATATTTTATGTTGTTAATTGGATGCTGCAGGAGATTCTTCCAAAATTGTCTCGATTGTGGGATACTATTCATTAGCCATACAACAGTTAGCTGGTTAGCGATGCAAAGGTTAGCTTATTTTCATTAACTTCCATGTTACATTAACAATGATAGTTATCTTTGTTTTTTTTTTGTGTGTCAGTAATCTTTACTTCTTATTAACTCATGATTCTGACTAATTTATATCCAATAATAATTTTCTGTAGATTATTTTGTTGTTAGAAGAATTAACTGAAATATTATTTTTATTATTAAGCTTAGGGTTGTTTTATAGATATCTGTTCTTGTTTCAAAGGAATTAGGGTCCTATTCTATATTTTTTGTTCGTTTGTTTTTCTCTTGTTCTTTCTGGAGATTTTTTGAAGGATGTCTCATCTTCTTTGTTTGTAATTTTTTATTTTCTTCTCTTCTAATAATAATTTTTCTCTAAAATGTTCTGTTATTAAGTTGAAGAAATAGTTCATGTATTTATAGAGATGCCTATAAATTGAAAATTATAATAGAATCTAACTAAATAGAACATTAACCATTATAGAACCTCCGAATATCAGTCATCGTGATGCGGCTTGGAGGCTTTGGACAAACTATCTTACATATATTCTCGGTGTATGTATCTCCTGGAACACTAGGGAGTTTTTGTGTTCCTTGTTGAAAGGGGAGAGAGTGAAAACATTCGGAGCTGAGCTTTGGCTTCTGTGGCTGGAATGAAATTTTATGATCTTCAGGGGTTGCCACTTTCCACCTCAATTACTTTTGGTTAGATTGATCTTCTTCGCTTCTCCACGGCCCAAGGCTCATGGTTGTTTTAGAGGCATTTTTCATCCTTATTATAAGGGAACTGGGTTCTATTCTCAATTGATCCTTTTCTTGGTGTAATTCTGCCTCTTTGTTTTTCTTTTTTGGAGATGTTTGTGAAGATGTCTTATCTTCAATTCATTTATCTTCCATTTTTAATTAATAGTTATTTTTTTTGAGAAAAAATAAAAAAATGTACTTACATAAAAGGTTAACTATTTCGGAAGAGACTGCATTTAAAATGTTTTATCTCTGTGTCGTGGGAAGTTAGAAAAACCTAATTGGGACATAAAAGAAAAAAGGAATGATAAAAAAAGGAAATTGATGTAACAAATAAACTACGCGCAATTAGGGAACTGAAGTCCATTTAAGTATAAGATGGGTATAAATACCTGGTACCCAGTTGCATGTAATATTCCTAAATATTTAATGTCTTAGGTAAAGTGGAAATCATGTCTTTTATCTTTCTCTTTGTAGTCCTCTCTGTTTCTCTCCCTATCGAAACCAATTATTCTAAATAAATTACTCTCTCTATTAGTCTTCTTATTCTCCAAATAACAATCGAATAGGCTATATAGGAGTTATCTTATTCTCTTAAACTCCCTTCAAATTCAAGCTTACGTTCTGCTGGAGTTTCTTACAAATAAAATGAAGTAATTTTTTTTTTTAAATGGACTAAAATTAAAAACTCATAGCCTGATAATTGGATAAATTGAAGTTTGTTATGAGTAGAGTAAGGATGATATTTTTTTACCTAAACTCACCCAATCTGCCTCATCTGAACTTGATTTGATGTGATTTTTTTTTTTATTGAAGTGCGGATTCGAATTGGGACATATTCAGATCGGTGGAAAAGAATTTGGGTCAAGTTCTGGTGGTTTCTAAGGACTATCCCTCCAACAACTTGCAAAGACTTGACGAACAAAGACATAAACAGTGACTTGATCAAATAATGATGTTCTCAATCAAGTAAATGTGATACTTGTCACTAATAGGTGGGTGCCACATACCATAAGCAACAATTGTAAACCTTGGCAACAACTTGCTACCACTTCAACTTGTTTTTAAATAAGGTAAAATGTCTTTCCTTGAGCAATAAGCTTTGGTAGCTCACAGGTTTTTTTAGACCATATGAAAATTTAAATATATTATCCAATCTATTATCAATAATTTAATCTCTCTTGACGGAAAAATTTTAAAAGCATAGATCAAGAGCAAGTCCATCAAATTTTGTATTGAAACTATTGATAAAATGAGATGACAACGGTAAACTAAGTTTAGGCATCTCTGGCTTTCGGTATTATGTAGGGTTAGATGGCCACTGTTATGAAGGTGTATGATCACCTCCCATTAACTGGAGGTGCGTTAAATATCTTTCTGTGCTTAGACCTCTAGTAGATAGGTCACCTAATGCTAGCAATACTAGACCTAGGGGTGAATACACTGAAACATAACCCCTATAGATATAATTTTATTTTCTCATATAGAGTTATGGGATAAATGCATTTTTTCAAATGACACCATATTTTGTTTTATTTTTCATTAGAAAATAAGAAGAAACAAAAGAAGATTTGAGGATTAGAGAAGAATGAATCAATTGAAAACAAAACCAAGAATTTATTTATTTTTGGGGAGAAATTAGTAATAATCAAAGCTTTGTATTGGAAATTTTTATATGAAGGGAATTTGATTAATATGTTTTTTTTTTCTTTTTCTTTGTCGTAGATGGCTACTAATGCCTGGAAAGTATGGTGGGAAGAATGAAACTAGAGGAAGCTAATGAGGTCCTATTCTCTTATCCGTTTAATGATTTTGTGGATTATTTGGAAGGAAAGAATTGGAAGAGCTTTCAAGAATACTTTTTTCTCTTTTTTTTTTTTTTTTTTTTTGAGTTTGGAATGCTTGGTTTTGCATCTTTCACTTTTTTCTCAAAGGCCATTCATTAATTTTGGCAAAAGATTTGAGGGACTACTTGACATCTTAACTTATTTTTAAATATATACCTTTGTTTTTCTAGCATTTGGACTCATGCTTTGTTGCTCCTTACTGTCATTCTTGTGTCTTTTGAAAAACAAATTCTCAAGTAGAATACATAAGAAATATTTATATTGAATACTTATCAACTTAGTTAAAGATTATCTTTTGTGATTCCATTTTTCAACTTTGATATAAATATTTAGAATGTTAGACAAATGCATGCTCAGATATCATAATATATGTTCTTATATTTAGCTTTAACAATCAATTTATGTAATATTCATCAAAAAGAAAAGAAATGTAAATAAAATTTAGAGTTGGATGTAAATGAAAGAAATTTTTAAAAATTAGAAAATTTTAATTAGTTCAAAGACTTAAATGAAAGTAAATAAGAAAAAAAGGGATAAAAACATAAATAAGTGGAAACGGAAGGGGGCAAAGGAAATCAAGAAAATGGACAGTTCAGATCATGAGGAGATCAGATGGTTGAGATTTAAAAAGAGAATGGACGATCCAGATCAAGTCATAAGGATCTAACGATTGAGGAGACGAGTATAAAAAGAAAAAAGATTAGGGTTTCCTTCATCTAGGAGAGAAGCCGAAAAAGAGAAAGGGAGAAAGAGAGAGAGCGGTGATCGGGGAGAGGAGGAAGAAGACGGTCATGCGGGGGAGCCGAAAGAGAGAAAAGAGAGAAAAGAAGAGAGAGGCTGGAAAGGAAGAGGGGAAGGGAAAAAGAAAGGAGAGAAAAGGGAAGAGAAAGTGGGTGGCCGAGCGGGAAAAAGGGAAGCCGAGAACGCAGCGCAAGGGGAGAGGAGAGAGAGAGAGAGAATCGCGGAGGAGGAAGAAGAAGAAAGGGAATCGCGACCAAGGCACACTGCGTGATGGTGGAATCCAAAGTCGAGCTACACATGACGTTGGTGTCTGAAAAACCGGCAAGTTTTGTCCTTTTATTCTCTATTTTTTGATAATTTCTTTTCTTATTTCGTTAGATTTTTTATTTCCTTTACTAATCGGTTTGTAGGTTTGAAAAATCACATCCGAGTCTCAACCAAGCTAGGGAGCCGCAGTGTGATGGAGAGGAGG